GAAGTACCCTGGCGAAACGCTGCGTTTCAGTTTTTACGAACAAGTGCCAGGGCCGAGAGAAGGGGCTCCTTCGGCCAGCTTATGGCCGTGATTTATCAGGCACAAACACCTTCCCCTGGAGAAATTATACAATAGTACGGTAGTACCACATGGCAATTGACATGTGGTATTACGTTCAATTGAGCTTGCGACACGTGGATGGTAATAAATTTCTCCATGACGATGTTTGCCTTCTCCAATCCTCCATTTCTTTGTTATTCTTCCTAGAGACTGAACTCAAGTTTGAAGGCGCCGACTTCACTATGCCAAAAAAGGGCTTTAGCATCGGATAAAATCCGTTGCCTATTACACATAAATACCGTGGTATTGGTGACTGTTGCCTATTCCTATGTAATAGACAACGGATATTCTCCATCGCTGTTTATTACTTACTACATCGGATATCAAGTAAACTCCGATGCCTAAATGATTTCCGAGTGCCAAAAAAAGGTTGACTTCTGACGCCTAAACCCGAAACAGCATCAGTACTTTCAAAATGGGTGAGGCTAAAGAGGTCTAACAGCATCAGTGATATCTACTATGCTGATGCATATTATCAATTACAACATCGTAGAAACAAATAATGGTGTTGTGAATTATGTTATACATCATTGCTTTTTTTATTTAGTGGACGTGAAAAGCCTCCAATAGTGCTGGTTGTTACATAAATGTTGATGCTACTTCTCGTTTTAGGCATCAGTGATAATGGATGTCTGGTTGTTGTTTTTATCTTTCAACTTCAGTTATTTCTGGAAAATTGAAGTTGTTATAAACAATAGGCATAATTTATGTAAGGAAATGGTAGGTATTTTGCTTGTTTCACATAAACAGTAATTTAAATAGTCTTCATTTTACACCACTTCGACCTCACTATGGTTAAAGCTAACAAAAAATAAAAACTCTAATCTATAAATATATTAATAACCTTAAAAGAAGAAAAGAGAAAAATGGGATACCTCTAAGAGCTGTTCCTAACTTCCTAGTACTGTTGTCTTGCGCTGCGTCGTAGACAAGTCAAAGAAAAACAATACCTTGGGCAAATCTTGTGTGCTAAATCTTTACAGGTCTGTTTTAATCTTTCGGTCTACTTTCTCCATTTTCCGGATGGGAGGGAGTTTTACTAACGGCTAACGCAGCAACCATATGTGGTGTTGTCGTCTTGGCCGTGAGTGGAACAGCAGGTTTTGCTACACCATTGCTAACTGGTCCCTGCTGATTTCCTGTTTCCATTCTTGCATTTGTACTGCCATTGCTGGGCTGCTCTTTTTGAGTTTCTGCTTCACTCCGGGCTAATGATGAGCACTTTGTTTCTGCAAGGTTAAATGGAAGAGGTACATTGATTGCCAATGTTAAAGTGGAGAAAGAAAAATAAATTCTAAATAATGTTAATGCCAATCTCAACCTTTTTTTTTCGGTTGGTAAGTGAACTAATTGCCATTCTTCTTCTTTAATTTTTTTTAAAAAAAATTTAAAATGCCTATCAAGATCAGGGCCATGCAACACCACACGGGCGCCCGCCCTTTTTTTTGGTGGGGGGAGGGGGGTGGGGGTGTAGTTACAGTTGTATTGTGGATGTGTAATTACAAGGGGATGTATAACTACAATTGTAATGTGGATGTGTAATTACAGCTGGATGACTGTAATTCAAAGTTTCTGATTGCAGAGTCGTGCACCTAGCTTTTCACAAGGAAACAACCACTCTAGATAAACCTACAAGATAAAGTATCCAAACAATAAATAAAAAATTAACTATCCTGACAGTTTTTAGCCTGAACAGTGAAAGAGGGTTTGGTTATTATGGAAAACTTTTAACTTATACCATATTTAGTCCAGATAGAAAAAGGATTGACTTGCCTTTTATTTCTCCAAAAGTAATGAGCCTATTAAGACAATCTCGGAACTTCGTCAAAACAATCCTTTCCTGTTCTGCATAGACCTCTGTCATTCCTTGTCCATTAGGCAACTGTGAAGATGTGTTGCAGCGATCGCCCATTAATCCATTAGGAGAAGCAGCTGACATGAACATTGTATCTTGTTCATCACACATCAATGCCAAAGTTGCAGGAGACATTGGCCTCCCTTTGGGCACATCAGCACCATCTGAATTGGAATCATCAGGGCTGATTTTATCAGCCTCATTTGCACTAGAACAATCATCAGCCACAGCTTTCTGAGCATCAGATTCCTTTTGGCTTTGCAACCTGTCTTGTGTCGTTGAAGCAAGGGAACTCTCTGTCGGCTTCTCTGCTGCATTCCTTTGTTCTGGGATAGATTGGACATATTAATGTTCAGTCATACCAAGGCACAACTTTTTATATTTACTAGAACCACTTGAAAGGTCACTACATAATAGATAATTTACAATTGAATTTTTCCTATAATGCCCTATTAGTAGTTAAATGCGTCTTTACCCAGACAAAGACAAACCAAAATTAGATGAGAGATGGAAGGTGATTTATTGGAAGGCAGATTATAGTTCTCGCTTAACTAGTAAAACTTAATTTACCACACAAGTGATGTTTCACAGCTTATTGTCTAGGTAGAAATGAGCCAACAGCATATAGCAGCAGTCCATCAAATATTTGAAAGAGTCCCCGAGGCAAAAAAAAATTTCTTAAATCTTGTAAGCTATCCATAAAAAACAGGGGAGGTGCTCATAGTCAAAAGCTACTATATTAGATGGATTCCAACTGAACTTCAACTTCAACTTTTGTCTAGGTAGAAATGACTATATGTTCTGGAGCAATTCGTAGTCAGTATTATCACTTTTAACACCCAAGCATTTTACTACTTAAAGAGATGCACTCTAAACATTTTCCAGATTTAATCATTTTATGGTCCATGGTGTGACACTACCCAACTCTCAATATCTCATCCCTAAGATCATTTGCAGTCATTTAGGCAAAGACAACCTTTTGTGAAAGGAAGAAAATATATAAAATTCTGAAGACTAGTGATTCGTCATATATGAAACAATAAACTACCTGCAAGTGCCTTTGCAGCTTCTTCTGCTACTACCACCAAAACTGAACAAAGCTCCTTCAAGTCCTGTGGTTGTATGATGTCTGCTAGGAGAGACCTTCAACAACCATACACAAATTAGTTTCATACCACGTACTTTAGTAGTTTATAACGAAAACTAATTATACCTATATGTAAACTTAGAAGGCCCTAATCCTGCAGTACCACAAAAAAATTGGAAAAGTTGGGACTTCGGTGGGTTTGTGGTTTCAGAGGTTAGTGAGAGAGTAAGAGCGGAGAGATGAGTAAGGAAAAGTGTGAGAGCAGATACGAATTGAGCGAGAAACTGAGAACACAGAGATGAGTTGAGCGATATAGCAATCTTGAGAAAGAGAAAATCGTAGATCCGTCACCTCCCAATACCTGCACCAAAAGGAAAGCATGAGATCCATAAACATTAATACATAAATAAAATGAAAAAGGTAGGAGATTGAAGAAAGATGAAAACAATTCAGAAACATTAACACCCAAAAATCAAAAGGTTAGAGATTTTCATACATTAGATTAAAGCCCAGAGAGGCAATGAGATCCAAGAGACAATGAGCCAGCCGCAAAGAGAAAAACACAGTAAGATTAGAGAAATTACTCAATAAATTGAAACCCTAACTGAAATTTCCCAAAACATTGAAACCCTAACTTAAATAATCTCACACGACGACGCGACGAGAAAGAGGATGCCAACGCCGAAGGTTAAAACCCTAATGAAGGGACTTCCATGGCTCTCTCTGGACGAGGAGGAGGATGCCTATGGCTCTCCCTTTCTTCGAAGGCCTTAGGTCATTTTTGCTGTGGCCAAACTTCGAGTGTCTAGATGGAGGAAAGAGAAGAAGGAGATGGAGGAGATCCAAAAAAATTGTAAGTTTTATTTTTTTAGGAGATAGAAGCTGAAAAATGGCGAGCGAGTTTGGGAGGGATTGAAAAAAAATGCGAGGGAGAGGAGCCAAGGTTGCGAGGGAGTCTGAAAAAAGGAGAGGGAGCTTGAAATTTTTTTGCTGGAGCGTTGACTATACTTTCAGCATCAGTGCTTCCCAAAAAAAAGCCCCCCACTTTACAGAAAAAAAAACAGAAACACTTTAGGCATCAGTCGTTAGAACAGACGATGCTAAATTGGCATCAAGGCATCGCTAACGAAAACAAAATATTTGTGCTGATGTCTTTTTACCTTTTAGCATCTTAATTTATAAAAGCAATGTCTAATGTACTTAAAGCATCGATTTTCAGTTTTACTGATGCCAATGTAGTGTTGCTAAAGCCAAATTTTGGCATAGTGCTTTGACCCAAAAAAAAAAGTTTGAAGGTGTCTACCAGAAAAGAGAATAATAATAAGAAGAAATGAAAATTAAAAATCTGTGTAAAGCCGCGATGCAAAACAATGGAGTTACATGATGCAAGAAGCCAAGATTATTTCTTTTATTGGTTGATTTATTTGAAGCAAACTCTCACTGAAAATTGCAAAAATTTATGGATTTTTTTTATATTCTTTCTCCAAGAGAAGGTGTTTTTCAACCCATAATTTTTATTTTATTTTAGAAATCAACCATGATCAACCCATGATCTTTGATGGGTCTTTGTTGAATAATGAATTTGCTTGAAATGATGGTGTGATTGATCTTTGATGGGTCTTTGTTGAATAATGAATTTGCTTGAAATGATGGTGTGATGACCAACAAAGATTGTGGGTAATGGATTTGTCGGGCAAAGTTCTTCAATTTCTTCATAGATCTCTAATTAATGGGCCTCTTGGGAATTTTGTTATTCTCTCTCATAATCTTTGACAGGTAATGGGTGCTCTAAACTTGATCTGCACATGCGATGTGTTCATGGGTAAACTGCCGACTGAAATTTGGAGTAGTTTTAAGTTTTCAGAAAACGGGATCTGAGGGCAGAAAGAGAGAAGGAAGTGTTGACGCCAAAAAGTGGTTCTCTGACTTTGGGGGTCAACTTAGTAATTTTATGCCTTCGGTATCCTTGATGCCTCGGTAGTCAACGTGATCTGCAATATGAGCAAACGCACGGTAAGACCTAGGGCACCGGTGTGGTACCGGCTGAAGGCTCTCCGATGCTTCAGTAAGTTCGGGAATAGAAAGTTCAACTGACAGATCAATAGGCTTGTATGCCGTAAGTTCTGATTACCTCCATTTTGGGATAGTTGGCCTCCTTTTATAGGTCTTGGGAGGTGTGCATTTGTTGATAATTTCGATGTGGGACTGTGGACGTCGCTTGGGAGCGTGCCACGTGTCCCAGGAGAGGGCGTTGCCCTAACGGAGTGATCGGTAGGCAGAGTGCCGAGGGCGCCTCTGACCAAGCCCAGTTTCCTCCACGTGTCTTGCTCTCATTGGCCATTTATTTTGGGTGTAAACAGGAGTCCCCCAAGTTCTCGAGCGAGATTTCTCGGTCGGGGATTTGTTCGTTCTTCGGTAGCCGCTAAGTTGTCCTACCGTTCGGTAGGTTATCAAGTACGCACGCTGGGGTTCTGTCTTGTGCCGATTGACTTCGGAAAACTTGCCTGGAAACTTAAGAGTCGCCACTTCGAGGGTTACCGTTCGGCAGTATTTGGTGTGTTTAGGGGTTCCGAGAGATGCTTGCCGATTTCTTGTTAACTTGGGCGAGTTTGATCTTTTCTTATGCGACTTCGCGCACAGTGAGGGGTCGTGATGGGACAGAATGACGCTTCGTCTTCTGCACCCAGCGTGCTGTCAGAGGTTCCACTCAGCGCACGACACGTGGTGTGTCTTATCACGCGGGGCGGCGCCATTAATGCGCCGTTTGGTATCTCGAGGCGTACCGTTGCAACTTTCGCCCTATAAATAGAGGGAGTCTTTGAGGCGGAACTCACTTTGCATTTGTGAGTGAGGCGAGAGCTCTGTCCAAGCGATTTCCGACGAGAGCAAACGGTAACAGAGGCGATTTCCGGCGACTTGATTCGGTACCAGAGACGATTTCCGGTGAAAGCCAACGGAAGGCAAATCGATTCTCGTCTTTACATTCTAATTCACACAAGGTACCGTTCGGTAACTTTGCTATTTTTCTTCTTTCATTGTGCATACGTCCTTCCATGGTTTGAACTAGACTTAGAACTTTGTGCAAGTGGGGTGTGGTTCGGTAGTCTAGTTGCCATAGGTAGAGACGTAGGCATCGGTAGGATAGCTCATTGTATGGCCCTTAGTTTCCTTCCGTTGGTTTTGTAGATGTCTGATAGCGAGTCAGGATTCGAGAGTGAGCCCAACGCATTTGAGGAGGAGTCTCCAGATAGGCGAAGGGATACCGAAAGTGAAGAGATGGGCCAAGATACCGAGAGTGATAGCGACTCTGAGGTTGAGGTTGTTGGCTAGAGGTTTAGACCTGCGCCCACTCATGGGATCGGTAAGGGGCTTATGACTAGTCAGCCCCTAGCGTTGGCGGCTGTGTATAGCAACGGTCGTCAAGCTGGGCTGGGCCCGCATTCCGAACCTCAGTTGGAAGATGTTCGGGTGCCGGAGGCATCCTCTAGTCACCGTCCGGAGGCCTCCACTTCTGGTCGTGGTGACTCTTCCGAGCCAGTTACCCTGCCGAGGGTAACAATAGTGAATAGCAGGAACCAAAGGGTACCGATGGGGGTAGCGAGGGAGCAGCTCTTTGACGTAGACTACTTGCCGCCCAACAAGCTGACCTACCGAGAGCTGGCAAAGATCAGGGTGGAGTACATGATTCCCCATTCGGTAGGGATGAGGATCTCAGGCCTTACCGAATCCCTGAGCAACCCCAAGGATGGTGAGGTTGCGTTCTTCACCAACGTCCTTCAGCAGGGCGTTAGGCTGCCGTTGCAGCCTCCAGTTCAACGAATCTTGGCTCAGATTGGGTATGCCCCTGGGCAGTTCAATCCGAACTTCTGGGCCGTTCTGATGGGGGTAGTTACGGCATTCGGACTTGCCGGTGAGGAGGGGCCTTCTTACGAGCAGTTCTCCCACCTGTACAGCATCACCAAATCCAAGAGTACCGATCATGGTGGCTGGGTTCAGGCGAACTGTCTCAAGGCTTCCGAAAGGGGCCATTTTCTAGCTGCCGTGCCGACTTCTCAGAAGTCCTGGAGGAATCGGCGGGTGCTTCTCTCTGGCGATTGGGAATCGCCCTCGGGAGTGCCCGTTTGCTTTTCTATCCCCACCACTTTCCAGATTGCCGGTAGGTTGCTACCATGCCGATCGGCAGATCAATTTTTCTTTGTTCAATGGATTAACCTGTTTCGTTTTTTTTTCGTTTCTTTTTTTGTAGGCAAACTGAAGCAACCAATGGCAACCCAGTCAGAGCTTCGACAAATTGATAAAGTAAGGCTGAAAGTTCCTGCCGGTGACAGGGAGTACCCACAGTTCCTCTTCACCGAAAATCTTGTCAGAGCCCGCCTTGCCAACCCTGCCGAGAGTAAGTTGACTTGAGGTTTTTTTTTTTTTTTTTTGG